ACATCACTCGGTACCCTTACTCAAATCTCTGAATATGTTAGATATTAAATCACTGCACATCCTCTCATGTCTCAGCCCCCAAGGCTGTGAAGCGGCTGCCCATGCAGCACGAGCATACATCACCAACATTTCTGATGAAAAGGCCCTGCTCAAACTGGACTTTAAGAATGCCTTCAACATGGTCAGAAGAGATGCAGTACTTTGTGCCGTACATCGCCATTTCCGGCCCCTCTACCTGTTCACACTCGTGCTACAGTGGTGAGTCAAAACTGCTCTTTGGTGAACATGAAATCAGATCATGTGAAGGTGTTCAGCAAGGTGATCCTCTTACTCCCCTTCTTTTCTGCTTAGTCTTAAAAGAAATCACCGAAAGCTTGTCCAGCGAGTTCAACATCTGGTTTTTGGATGATGGCACTATAGCTGGCACCGTAGACCACCTCTTGGCAGGTATCAGGAAAATAAGGGAGCAAGAAGTAGAAGTTCTCGTCCTGAACCCTTCCAAGTGTGAAATAGTCTCCTCCAACCCAGACATCGTAGCTAGAATAAGGTCTGCCTTGCCTGGAGCACGTCATTAGGGCCGAGAACAGCACCCTCCTTGGAGCCCCCCTGGGGTCTAACGCCATTGAAGAGATCCTTGACAAGAAAATCGCAGACCTTAGGAGGATGGAAGACAGAATAGGTGACATCGATGCTTTTTATCTCCTCGCCAAGTGCCTATCCCTTCCGAGGCTAACCTACTTTCTGAGGTGCGCCCCGAAAGCTTGAAGATTATGACCTCTTACTGAAGACCATGCTGGAAAAAGTTGTTAACCTCTCCCTCAACGAATGCCAGTGGAAACAAGCCACTCTTCCTGTTAGGCTCGGTGGCTTGGGTGTCCACACTGCCACCCAAATTGCTGTCCCAACCTTCCTGTCTTCCTCCTCAGCATCAGATGACCTGGTTAAGGAAATTCTACTTGACACCCTGAGTAATGTAGCGGGGATACAGGACCCCCACTACACGGAATGTTACGCGAAATGGGGTGCCATGGCAGACCCAGTACTCAGACCAGCCATGCCGAAAGCCAAGAAACAATCCAGTTGGGACAGCCCCATTGTAGAAAAAGAAGCCACAGCTTTGCTGGAGGCAGCAACAACCCCCAGTGATCGTGCACGCCTCACAGCTGTGCAGGCTCCCCATGCAGGGGACTTCCTTTTGACAGGCACACGTCTTGATCCGCAGGAGCTCCATATTACAGTTGCCCTCCGTCTTGCTGCCCCTATCCACACTGTTCATAGGTGTATTTGCGGCGAGGCAGATGCTGACGAATATGGATTGCATGGCCTGCATTGTGGAAAATCTGGTGGTTGGCACACTAGACACGACGAAGTCAATGACATCATTAAAAGAAGCCTTGCCTCTGCTCAGTGTCCAGCGGAGAGAGAGCCCGGCAACCTACTGAACCGTGACTCTGTTAACTTTGCTGGCCGACCAGACGGAATCACACTGCATCCGTGGAAGGGTGGCAGACAGTTTGCATGGGACTATACTTGCGTATCCACCCTGGCAACCACATACATTAACCTCTCTGCCGGCACAGCAGGAGCCGCGGCGACACGCAGAGAAAGAGACAAGTCAGCCAAGTACAGGCAATTAGATCATCGGTACAACTTCGTTCCAACAGGGTCTGAGACCCTAGGCCCATGGGGAGAGAGTGCAAGAAGGTTTCTTAAGGATCTTGGTTCCAAGCTCATTGACACCACAAGAGACCCTAGAGCGGCCAGTTTTCTCTTTCAGCGCCTCAGTGTCGCGATCCAGAGGGGAAATGCTCGCTGCATCCTCGGTTCCTGCCCGGCGTTGGAGGATTTCGAGGAAATCTACAGCCTCTAGGAAGCGAACTTTTTTTTGTGTCCTCTTAATCACTAGACCAACTAGAATCACTGATAGTACTGCTACGACTCTAGATCACATCTGGACCAACATAACCTCTCCGCTTACTTCAGGTATAATCACCGATAGCACTACAGACCATTACCCCACATTTCTCTTAACTAACATTAGCAAACCACCTCTAGAGACAAGGGAGTTAAGCTTTAGGCTGCACAATGAAACTGCTATAAACAATTTTATAACTGCTGCTGATAATGTCAACTGGGAGTCCGAGTTAGGTAACATAGGGGACATCAACCTAGCAGTGAAATCTTTTCTACAAACAACTCTTAGCCTTTATAACACCCACTGTCCTATGCTTACAAAACAAGTCATAAGCAAAAGACTTAACAATCCTTGGCTTACAAAGGGAATACTTAAATCCATTAACAAAAAACACGACCTTGAGAAGAAGTATAGGCTAGGAACAGTCTCCAAAGAATTCTCAAAGAATTACTCGTTATTGCTATCTAAAATAATTAGACGAGCCAAAACTAAATACTATGAAGATAAATTTACCCAAATAAAGAGCAACATTAAAAAAACTTGGAGCACAATTTCACAAATATTGGGATCAAAGAAGATTTTAAATAACAAACCAACACTCCTTTCCAATAACGTTGGTCAGCTTTCAGCCTCTGATTCTGCTATTGAGTTCAATAGGTTCTTCTCTTCCATTGGGTCATCCCTTGCAAATGATATTCCATCTTCCTGTACTGATGTTAAGGACTATCTTACAGGTAACTATCCACAGTCTCTGTACCTAAAGCCTACTAGTTCCACTGATGTCAATGAAATAATCCTTTCCCTTAAAACCAAGTCTAGTGCCCTCGAGGAGATACCAACTTTAATTTACAAAAAAGCCTCCAGATCTCTAGCCCCTGCTATTGCATTGCTCTTCAACAAGTCACTTGAACTCCAAACCTTTCCTGACATTCTAAAAAAAGCAAGAGTAACCCCTGTCTACAAATGTGGTGATCTCACTGGCCAAACACAATATACTTAGCTCTTGTCAATATGGCTTCAGACCCAAAAAAAGCACTAACGATGCACTTATTAGTATGATTAACTTAATTCACGCAGCTCTTGATAAAAAGGAGTTTCCTGTTGGGTTATTTGTGGACCTGCGTAAGGCTTTTGACACTGTCAACCATCAAAACCTTCTTCTTAAATTACATCATTATGGAGTCAGAGGACACTCCCTGCAATACCTCAAATCTTATCTTACTGACAGGCTCCAGTATGTTTCTGTGAATAATACAATTTCTCCCACCCTACCCATCAACATTGGTGTTCCCCAGGGCAGCATACTTGGCCCTCTCCTCTTTCTCATCTACATTAATGACCTTCCAAATGCCTCCCAACACCTCAAACCAATTCTATTTGCTGACGACACAACCTTCATTTACTCCAGTCCTGACCCCCTTGCTCTAAATGCCACAGTAAATACTGAGCTAGAGAAAGTCCATCTTTGGCTAACTGCCAACAAACTCACCCTTAACATTGACAAAACGTTTTATATTCTGTTTGGCAATAAATCTTCTAATCAGATAAATCTCAAAATAAACAATACCCAAATTTGTAACAAATTAGATGGCAAATTCCTTGGCGTTCTCATCGACCACAAGCTGAATTTCCAGGGTCACATTCTAAATATATCAAAAAAAGTTTCAAAAACTGTTGGCATTCTTTCTAAGATCAGATATTATGTACCCCGCCCTGCCCTGGTTACTCTCTATTACTCCCTCATCTATCCATACCTCAACTATGGTATTTGTGCTTGGGGTTCTACTACCCAAAATCATTTACGTCCTCTCATTACCCAACACAAAGCTGCTATTAGGACAATAACCAACTCTGGCCCCAGACATCACTCGGTACCCTTACTCAAATCTCTGAATATGTTAGATATTAAGTCACTGCACATTCTCTCTTGTGTCTTATACATATATAAAACACTGAACTGTAATGCCAATCCTGACCTCAAAAGCTTCATTGAAGGTTGTAACAGAACCCATGAGCACCACACCAGGAATAAATACAGTTTTGATATTCCTAGAGTACGACTTAATCAAACTAGAAATGCTCTACAAATCAAGGGACCCAGAATGTGGAATGACCTTCCCAACCATGTTAAAGACTGTACCTCTCTCAACCAGTTTAAGATAAAAACTAAACACTACCTAATAAATTCCCTGTAACCCACCTTACTCCTTTATTGTCAACCCATGTCTGTTATTTTATTTTATTATTATTATTTTTTTTTTTTAATCAACATTGTTTGTCAACCTATTGTATTTGTGCTGCTTTTTCAGTCATGTTCCCCCTTTTTTTATCTTTATTTGTATTTGTTTTCAACATTTTTTATTCTTTATGCTCAATTAGTAATAAGTTCTAGTTATTAATGTTTTTCTTGCCCGAAACGCATTGCGTAATAGTGGCTTTAGGCATTGTATGTACTAGCTCTATCTATATATCAATCCATTAATGTAACATCACTTGTATGTATGTACCTTACCTGAATAAACATATTTATTTATTTATTTATTTATTTAATGTTAATTTTTTGTATAAAATCATATATGTAACTGTATAACCTTGCATAATAATGTGTACACCATAAAAAAGGGGGGTGGTAGGAGAAGCAAACACTCTTACGTATTCAGAGTTAAATGGCAAGTTTTTCTCTGAATGCTCTGTGTTCCCTTCTCTGAGGCTGTGGGTCCCTATAATTGCACCAGAGGTGGTACCCCCCCTATATAATATATATATATATATATATATATATATATATATATATATATATATATATATATATATATATATATATATATATATATATATATATATATATATATATATATATATATATATATATATATATTTATATATTTTTTTTTTTCGCCGTAATCCCTTCGGTGAATATATATTATAGGCTTGTATAACACGCCGGGGTAGTACTCCTGTTTTTTAAATTTCTGAATGAGCTCTGGACTATATTTCCATATCAGTAATATTAATACGTGATTAAGCTTCAACCACAGAGTATATTTATATTAATTAATTATGTGTAGCTTGGATAAAGTAGCTTTAGTTAATGTTAAAGATGCGTGACCGCCGAGGGTCGCAGAAACACCTGTTTAACGTAAACAAATGGCAGGGTAGGGTGGGCGGACCAGCTGTGCGGGCGGGGAGGTCAACATTTTGGGCGTGGCTGGGGAGAGAGACTGGAGAGTGGCACCTGGTGATACCTGTGGTGCCCAACCAGGTGAGTGAGGCATTACCGCCCTCTAAGTACCCTCCCGGCTACCGCTGATCAATGCTAACTAAACATTTCCTTTAAAGGGGAAGTTCTGCCATGACGGGGAAGTTGTTGCTGATTTGACGCAATGAACTACTTTAGTGTAGTTTCTTGCATTTGACGTAGAATTAAGTATTATATCGTCAGTAGTTTGAAGGTAGTTATTTTATTACCGTAAATATGAGTTGACTTTACATTAGACTATGAATTACTAACGTTATAGAGTGAAACATGGAGCCACTGGCAACTGGACCTTGGTACATATATACTATTTGAGAGAGGCTCCCAGACTGGCAGTCCGAGCTCACTGAATATACCGGGTAGTCTTTCCTTGTCACACTTGGTGGTGGTGTTTGTCTGACTATTCTATCAGTGAGCCTCGCCTTGGGTGTGTGAAGTGTTGCATGCAGTGCACCATTGTTGAACGTCAGGCTTCACGGCTTCCAGTCTTACAGGATGTCAGTGGAAATACTTGCATACAAACCTGATCACGAATTTCTCTTAAGAATAAAAAAAAAATATCCTTCACAAATGCATCTTTCATGCTTGTATTAAGACTTCTCAAAGGCCTGTGTGCTTATGTTTAGCATTTGCATATTTTTTGCATTAGTAATTGTTACAGCTAATTTATGTGATATTTATCAGATGTGAAATTTTAGAAAAACTGTATTCAGTGTACAAGTAAGGAAGTGACTTTATGACACTTGACACACAAGTACCCGAAACATCATTACAGTACTTACCAAGTAAAACTAATCAGTCGGAACATGTTTACGCCATGCTTCTTTGATGTGAACCTGTTTCTTGCATTATTGAAGACTGACTCATCTTGGGAAGAGTGTAGTGCTCTCTCAGGAATGTATTGGACTTAAGGAGAAAGGAATACATAGGTAGGCCTGTTGTCTCATGTGAGGTAGGTTCAATTTACAGTTGGTAGTTCTCACATATGTATATATTTTATTTTTAAAACTTATCAGGGCTGCCTATATGCTTCAGTGACATCCTTCAGCAGTTGGCACATACATGATTATTGTATAACAAGTATTTTGCAACAGGTCTTAACTGAAGCATTATTAATAGTTCTATCATGTTAGCTTCAATGCCTCAGTTCTATGTTAGCTTCAATTCTTTATATATCCTTTGTTAATACTGTACCTTTCATTCATTTATATATAGTACTTGTATATCATATTTCATAATTCTGTACATATCCAATCAATGTTCTTGTGCTCTTAATAATCATCTCAAAAAAGGTTCCTAATCCAACTGGTGAACTTTGTAATTTGGCATTGTATATTTTAAAGGTATTTCATCCAATGTGTATTGTGATGATAAAAACTGCACATCATTATCCAAGTGAGGTTTTACTAGAGCTAGATAAAGGTGTAGGGGATATCATTAGAGTACCTATTACTGTTTGTAATTTTGTATACATTCAAGCATTGCTTTCCTAATTTCAGCTTTACTAGGCCTAATCATTACTCCAAGATACATTTTCAAATGGATTTACTGTAAAAACAGTCCACATCGAGTTAATATTTTTTTTTTAATTTAAAGATACTGAATGTAATTTGCCAGATTTTGTTTGATTTGAAACTTATGGAGGTTTTCCTGCATGATTGGAGAGTCATATGAACAATCGACCCTTAACATAACCTAAGCATTGTGGATATGTTGAAGATGACCATCAGGTGTTGAACAATTTGAATACAGTACTTTCAGGATAATGAAATTAGAATTGTGAGCAGCTAATTTTATTTTATCTTTTATGCAACTGATGTAGTACAGTACCCCTTAGGAATGTATGCAAATACTGTACCACAGTACTTCATAGGTGTGTAGCCAGCATATCTCTAATTTTTCCCTAGCACAACCATTGCTGGCACATCCATGTGCCGGCAATAGTTAGGAAGCCATTGCTCAAATGATTCCTCCCAAGTAAGTGCTACATTGTCTTGGAGATGAGTTATTAATGCAGTGAACAGACCAATTCAGTCATATTTTGCCATGAGGTTATATTTGAGGTTTAGGTTAGTACTGTACCTGGTAAGTATAGTATCATTATTTGGCTGATCAGTAGTAAAATTTGGACTTCCTATCGATTGTTTTGTGCAATTATTATGCACTCCATACCCATCCTTTGGGCAGCAGTGGAAACAGGTTAAAGGCTCATAATTGGCTCAAGAACTGAACCCCTCAAATTTGTTTAGCTAAGCAAGTAAGACGCTTGTGAAGCTAGTTACATATTAATGCGCATACAGCATATATATTTCATTCACTTGCACCACCTGAATCACAAACTCAACCACCGAAGTGGAAGACAGGATCTGTACCGACCTAACTACAGATACGCATAATAAGAGAGAGTCCAAAGAAACACAACTGGTATCCAACTGGGACTTTCAACCTCTCCTGGGGTATCATTAGAGTCTGGTGATATTAGGTGATCCTTGTGCCAGTCATATAAACTACAAGTGCAGTATCGGAGCTAGTGATACCCCAGGAGAGGTTGAAGGTCCCAGATGGATATCAGTTGTGTGTGTTTGTCATCCTCTTTTATTGTGGGCATCCGTAGTTAGGTCGGTAGAGCTCCTGTTTTCCACTCTTGTGGTTGAGTATGAGGCTCCAATGGTGCAAGTGAATGATGTTATTTCCACATTTATTGTGGAACTATGAGTTCTTGACTCACTCGAGAATTCCAGGTTCAAATGTCAGGCGGTACAGAAATGGTTGTACGCATTTTCTATCAACTCATGCCCCTGTCCACCTAGCAGTAAATAGGTGCCCAGGAGTTAGCAGCTTGTTGTGGGGTTGCATCCTGGGGAGGGTCAGTAATTCGACCAGGGGGGGGGGGGACCTTGATATAAGTCTAACATGTAATGTATGTATAAACTAGCTAACTGTCCACATTATATATATACTATATCACTAAGAATTCTAAATGACTCAACCAGGATTCGAGTCCGCAAAATTCAAGACCATCCCTAAACATATACGGTACAGTGACCACCACACAATATGATCATCTAAATGGTGCGTATATGGTCGGTTGTCATGGTACCGTGTACGTTTAGGGGTTATCTTGAGATGATTTTGGGTCTTAGCATCCCTGCAGATCGGTCCTCAACCAGGCCTCTTTTTTTTATGTTACACACCCCCAGGAAGCTGCCCGTAGCAGCTATCTAACTCCCAGGTACCTATTTACTGCTAGGTGAACAGGGCATCAGGGTGAAAGAAACATTGCCCATTTGTTTCCGCCTCCACCAGGGACTGAACCCGGAACCTCAAGACCTTGAATCCGAAGCGCTGCCCACTCGGCTGTCAGGCCCCCCTGACAAGGTGATCCTGGACATTGTGGGTTTTTATTTATTTATTTATTTATATATATACAAGAGTTTATACATTCTTGCACAGCCACAAACAGTACAGTGGTAAAACATGAATTAGTGACTAGTTATGTTAGTTTAGGTTAGGTAGGATAGGTTAGATATGGTCATATTTCTATGTTAGTTTTAACTGAAATTAAAAAAAAATTAACTTATATATTATGTAATGGAAAGCTTTATCATTTCATAAGAAAACAATGTAGAAGAACATGTTACTTCAGGAAAACTTGGGTTATTAGGCAAATCAGGCCTTGCATAGTAGGCCAAATAATGCATTCTGGCATTATATATATATATATATATATATATATATATATGTCGTACCTAGTAGCCAGAACGCGCTTCTCGGCCTACTATGAAAGGCCCGATTTGCCTAATAAGCCAAGTTTTCATGAATTATTTGTTTTTCGACTACCTAACCTACCTAACCTAACCTAACCTAACTTTTTCGGCTACCTAACCTATAAGGATAGGTTAGGTTAGGTTAGGTAGGGTTGGTTAGGTTCGGTCATATAACTACGTTAATTTTAACTCCAATAAAAAAAAATTGACCTCATACATAATGAAATGGGTAGCTTTATCATTTCATAAGAAAAACATTAGAGAAAATATATTATTTCATGAAAACTTGGCTTATTAGGCAAATCGGGCCTTGCATAGTAGGCTGAGAAGTGCGTTCTGGCTACTAGGTACGACATATATATATATATATATATATATATATATATATATATATATATATATATATATATATATATATATATATATATATATATATATATATATATATATATATATATATATATATATATATATATATATATATATATATATATATATATATATATATATATATATATATATATATATATATATATATATATATATATATATATATATATATATATATATATATATATATACATATATATACATATATACATACATATATATATATATATATATATATATATATATATATATATATATATATATATATATATATACATATATATACATATATACATACATATATACATACATACATACATACATACATACATACATACACACACACACACACACAACAGAAGGCAGAAACAAATGGGCAAAGTTTCTTTCACCCTAAGTGCCCCTGTTACCTAGCAGTAAATAGGTACCTGGGAGTTAGTCAGCTGTCACGGGCTGCTTCCTGGGGTGTGTGTGTGTGTGGTGTGGGAAAAGAAAGAAAAAAAAAAGTTAGTAAACAGTTGATTGACAGTTGAGAGGCGGGCCCAAAGAGCAAAGCTCAACCCCCGCAAAACACAACTAGTAAACACAACTAGTAAACACACATACATACATACATACATAAATATATATATACATATATATACATATACATGGGTACCTCAGTTTAAGAGTTTAATCTGTTCCTGGAGACAGCTCGTATTCTGAAAACTCATAATCTGAAGCTAATTTCCCAATAAGAAATAATGGGAAATGAATTAATCCGTTCCTGACTACTCCAAAAACCCCACTTCAAACTAAATTTTATACCTAATTCATCTAAATAAACCTACAAAACTATGTTCAAGTTATTACCCTTGCTGTTGAATGCTGTAGGCGTATGGAAGATGTTGAGGAGGGTGGAGGAGGAGGAGGAGAGGTGTTACTGTTTGGAAGGGGAGTCCCCTTCCATTATCACATCAGGCAGTGAGGACCTCTCTGGGGTGCATTCTCTTGTGCATTTTGCCTGCATACTACTAGGTCCTGGTTGTGGCTCACTGCTCGATTTTCTCACAAAAATCTGTCCGCGGAAAATTGTTTTTCCCTTCTTCGCAAAATGTTTCTGTAGTGAGGCATCACATTGTCATTGAAAAGATTAATGCAAAGGCCTACTACAGCTTTCTCTGGGTGAGTCTTTTCAATAAAAGTTTGCATTTCTTCCCACATTTGACACCACTTCTTAATGGTTGCAGAAGGAACATTCTGTACTGCCTCATCCTCCTCCACTGGAGAAACTTTCTCAGCTGGGTCTTCTTGCTGTTCCTTTTGAAGGGCTTGGAGTTCTTCGGTGGTCAGTTCTTCGTTGTGTTCTTCCACCAACTCCTCTACATCATCACCATCCAATTCCAAGCCCATTTGCCGGCCCAGAGTAACAATTTCCTCAAGAATAGGCATATCATTTACAGGCTCAAACCCCTCAATCTAGTTCTGTCACACATTCAGGCCACAATTTTCTCCAGCCAGAGATCAGGGTTCTTTGAGTCACTTCTTGCCAGGCTTTGTCATCACATCAGGCAGTGAGGACCTCTCTGGGGTGCATTCTCTTGTGCATTTTGCCTGCATACTACTAGGTCCTGGTTGTGGCTCACTGCTCGATTTTCTCACAAAAATCTGTCCAGGCTTTGTCAACGAGTTTTAAAGAACTACAAATGTTAAAGTGGTCTTTCCAGAACTCTTTGAGGGTGAGTTTTGTGGCTTCAGTCACTAATAAACATTTCCGGAAAAGTGTCCTGTCATAAAGTTTCTTAAAATTCGCTATGATTTTCTGGTCCATAGGCTGAATTAGAGGAGTGGTGTTAGGAGGAAGGAACTTTACTGTGAGAATTTACTGTATCTGTGCAAGAGTTCATCTTCCAAGCCTGGAGGATGAGCAGGAGTATTGTCGAGGAGAAGCAGGGCCTTGAGTGGCAAATGTTTCTCCTGCCGATATTTTTCTATGGCAGGGCACACCACTTCATTCACCACTCCGAGAAAAAAATCCTAGTCACCCCATGCCCTTTTATTAGACTTCCACATCACACAAATTTAGTTTTTCTGCACTTTATACTGTTTGAAACCCTTGGATTTTCAAAATGAAACACAAGCAAGGGTTTAATTTTCAAATCGCCACCCGCATTTGAACACAGCACAAGCGTAAACCTATCTTTCATAGGCTTGTGTCCGGGCAATGATTTTTCCTCCTTGGTAATGTATGTCCTCCTAGGCAATCTTTTCCAGAAAAGTCGTGTTTCATCACAATTAAAAACTTGTTGCGGTAGGTATCCCTCAGCCTCAGAAAACACTTTAAATTCTTCAATAAATCTTTCAGCCATTGGTTTGTCTGAGCTGGCAGCCTCCCCATGTCTCGTAACACTATGGATAGCACTTCTTTTTCTAAATTTTTCAAACCATCCCCTGCTTGCCTTAAAGTCTATCGTATCTGCACTCGTTCCAGGGGTTTTCTTTACAAGGTCTTCGTGCAATACCCTGGCTTTCTCACAAATGATGGCCTCTGAAACACTATCACCTGGTAACTCCTTGTTGTGTATCCAAATTAACAACAACTTTTCCACTTCCTCAAGTATTTGTGGTCTTTGTTTCGTGATTGTTCTTACACCTTTTGCCACTTTAGCACTCAAAAATGTCCTTTTTCTTGCTAAGTATAGTGCATATCATTGACGTGGCTTTGTTGTACTGCCTACAAAGTTCAACAACACGTGTACCATTTTCATGCTTCCGAATGATCTCTTGTTTTTCCTTTATTGTCTTACTCACATGCGCTTTCTTGCCTTGATCCTTACCACTGGCTTTCTTGGGACCAATGGTGAGATATATAATAACAACTTTTATGGTCAAATGGCCAGAAATCCAACAAAACACTGAAAATCCTGGTGAAGAATTCAGGCGGGATAGTCACTGGGCGCGAGGTGTTGGTAAACTGAGCGGCGATCGATGTGCCACCACGCACTAGGTCGGCCTGTACGTGTATCAACACCCTCGCCATCCGAGGCAAATTTTCTGAGCAAATCCTGCTCGTATTCCGAAAAACCTGTATACAAGGACACTCGTATTCCGAGGTGAAACTGTGTATGTATGTGTGTATGTATGTATGTATGTATGTATGTATGTATGTATGTATGTATGTGTGTGTGTGTGTGTATATATATATATATATATACAGGCATACCTCAGAATAAGAGTTTAATCCGTTCCTGGAGACGCCTCGCCTTCCGAAAACTCGCATTCCGAAGTTAATTTCCCCATAAGAAATAAAGGGAAATGAATTAATCCGTTCCTGACTACCCCAAAAACCCCACATCAAACTAAATTTTTATACCTAATTTACCTAATTCATCTAAATAAACCTACAAAACTGTGTTCCAGTTATTACTTACCTTGCTGTCGAGTGCTGTAGGCGTATGGAAGATGGTGAGGAGGGGGGAGGAGGAAAGGAGTTACTGTTTGGAAGGGAAGTCCCCTTCCATAATCACATCACATAACCCCATGCCTTGTAACACTATGGATACCACTTCTCTTTCTAAATTTTTCAAACCAGCCCCTGCTTGCCTTAAACTCTTTCTTATCTGCATCACTCGTTGCAGGGGTATTCTTTAGAAGGTCTTCGTGCAACACCCTGGCTTTCTCACAAATAATGGCCTCCGAAACACTATCCCCCCTCAACTCCTTGTCGTGTATCCAAATTAATAACAACTTTTCCACTTCTTCAAGTATTTGTGGTCTTTGTGCCGTTAATGTTCTTACTCCTTTTGCCACTTTAGCACCCATAATCTTATTTTTCTTCTTAAGTATAGTGCATATTGTTGATGTGGCTTTGTTGTACTGCCTACAAAGTTCAACAACACGTGTACCGTTCTCATGCTTCCGAATGATCTCTTGTTTCTCCTCTATTGTCATCCTCACATGAGCTTTCTGGCCTTTATCCTTACCACTGGCTTTCTTGGGACCCATGGTGAGATATATAATAACAAATTGTATAGACAAATCACCAAAAATCCAACAAAACACTGAAAATCCGCGAGAAGAATTGATGTGGGGGTAGTCACTGAGCGCGAGACAATAATAAACTGAGGGGCGGAGGGGCGACGAACGCGCTAGGTCGGCTGTACGCGTATCAACAAACTCGCGTCCAAACTCGCCTCCCGAAGTAACCATCGCCTTCCGAGACAAATTTTTGGAGTAAATACACCTCGCCTTCCGAAAACCTCGCATACAGGGACAATCGCATTCCGAGGTACCACTGTATATATATATATATATATATATATATATATATATATATATATATATATATATATATATATATATATATATATATATATATATAATATAATATATATATATATATATATATATTATAAATATAAATTTATAAATATAAATAATTCCTGTAAATATATACAGTATACAAATAAATAAATGTATAAATTATATTTCATACACATTAATAGATTATTCTTTGCTCTTTCAGGCAATGGCACTAATAGACAAAGGCCCCTGCAAGGTAAGAAAAAAAAATTCCCTGTTGGAAATGCTGTTATACATTGCTTGCTTGCACTGAAATGGTAAAACATTTCTAATTTTGTTTCATTTTCTTTCTTTAATGTATTGAGGTGAAGTTGATTGCATTGTTGGATAATTATATATAAACATATTTTTTGGGGGTAAATATCATCTCTTAGTTAGCTTGTTTAGTATCATTTAAGCAGTCCGCATGGCTCAGAGGTAAAACATTCACCTGGCGCTTTGCGAGCGCTTTAAACTGAGTTCGCATCCTCGCCGGGAAGGTTTGACCGGGTGCCAATTCTTAACTGTAGCCTCTTCACCCAGCAGGGAATTTAACCTGGTTCTTAAATGATTTGGCGGGTCGTATACCGGGGAAAATGTAGGATTAAGGACTTGCCTGAAATGGTGTATGTGCTAATAGTGTTACAAGAATGTAAAAATTCTTGTATATAAAATAAGTAAAAAATAAAAAAATAAATAAATACTGCAGTGTTCCACTGAGTCACTTATCTAGTGGTATATTTTGATACTGTATCCAGGATGATTGGAAATTTTGCACTCTTATTAGTCAAATGTTCCTTGATAAAATCCTTGGTTGGTTGATACAGGTTGGTGAATCCAATTCCTGTAATATAAATTGTCTAATGTCTTCCTGCTCTCATATAGGCATTCTGAGTGATATTTTGAAACCTTTGCAGTTATTGCACTTATATTGTATACTTGAGATGATTTGTATTTTATAAATACTGATACTGTACTTTTTTTTTATACTGATACTGTGATAATACTGTATAATACAGTATTATCAGTGTAGCAGTGTACCTATTGTTGCTGGTGCTACTGGTGGTGGCAGTGTACCTATTGTTGCTGGTGCTACTGGTGGTGGCAGTGTACCTACTGTTGCTGCTGCTACTGGTGGTGGCAATGTACCTACTGTTGCTGGTGCTACTGGTGGTGGCAGTGTACCTACTGTTGCTGGTGCTACTGGTGGTGGCAGTGTACCTATTGTTGCTGGTGCTACTGGTGGTGGCAGTGTACTTACTGTTGCTGGTGCTACTGGTGGTGGCAGTGTACTTACTGTTGCTGGTGCTACTGGTGGTGGCAGTGTACCTACTGTTGCTGGTGCTACTGGTGGTGGTGGAAGTGTACCTACTGTTGCTGGTGCTACTGGTGGTGGCAGTGTGCCTACTGTTGCTAGTGGTGGTGGCAGTGTACCTACTGTTGCTGGTGCTACTGGTGGTGGCAGTGTACCTACTGTTGCTAGTGCTACTGGTGGTGGCAGTGTACCTACTGTTGCTAGTTCTACTGGTGGTGGCAGTGTACCTACTGTTGCTGGTGCTACTGGTGGTGGTGGCAGTGTACCTACTGTTGCTAGTGCTACTGGTGGTGGCAGTGTACCTACTGTTGCTAGTGCTACTGGTGGTGGTGGCAGTGTACCTACTGTTGCTGGTGCTACTGGTGGTGGCAGTGTACCTACTGTTGCTGGTGCTACTGGTGGTGGCAGTGTACCTACTGTTGCTGGTGCTACTGGTGGTGGCAGTGTACCTACTGTTGCTGGTGCTACTGGTGGTGGTGGAAGTGTACCTACTGTTGCTGCTGCTACTGGTGGTGGCAGTGTACCTACTGTTGCTGGTGCTACTGGTGGTGGTGGAAGTGTACCTACTGTTGCTGCTGCTACTGGTGGTGGCAGTGTACCTACTGTTGCTGGTGCTACTGGTGGTGGTGGCAGTGTACCTACTGTTGCTGGTGCTACTGGTGGTGGCAGTGTACCTACTGTTGCTGGTGCTACTGGTGGTGGCAATGTACCTACTGTTGCTGGTGCTACTGGTGGTGGTGGCAGTGTACCTATTGTTGCTGGTGCTACTGGTGGTGGTGGCAGTGTACCTATTGTTGCTGGTGCTACTGGTGGTGGCAGTGTACCTACTGTTGCTGGTGCTACTGGTGGTGGCAATGTACCTACTGTTGCTGGTGCTACTGGTGGTGGTGGCAGTGTACCTATTGTTGCTGGTGCTACTGGTGGTGGTGGCAGTGTACCTATTGTTGCTGGTGCTACTGGTGGTGGCAGTGTACCTACTGTTGCTGGTGCTACTGGTGGTGGTGGCAGTGTACCTACTGTTGCTGGTGCTACTGGTGGTGGTGGCAGTGTACCTACTGTTGCTGGTGCTACTGGTGGTGGTGGCAGTGTACCTACTGTTGCTGGTGCTACTGGTGGTGGCAGTGTACCTACTGTTGCTGGTGCTACTGGTGGTGGTGGCAGTGTACCTACTGTTGCTGGTGCTACTGGTGGTGGTGGAAGTGTACCTACTGTTGCTGGTGCTACTGGTGGTGGTGGCAGTGTACCTACTGTTGCTGGTGCTACTGGTGGTGGTGGCAGTGTACCTATTGTTGCTGGTGCTACTGGTGGTGGCAGTGTACCTACTGTTGCTGGTGCTACTGGTGGTGGCACCTACTGTTGCTGGTGTACCTACTGTTGCTGGTGCTACTGGTGGTGGTGGCAGTGTACCTATTGTTGCTGGTGCTACTGGTGGTGGCAGTGTACCTACTGTTGCTGGTGCTACTGGTGGTGGCAGTGTACCTACTGTTGCTGGTGCTACTGGTGGTGGCAGTGTACCTACTGTTGCTGGTGCTACTGGTGGTGGTGGCAGTGTACCTATTGTTGCTGGTGCTACTGGTGGTGGCAGTGTACCTACTGTTGCTGGTGCTACTGGTGGTGGTGGAAGTGTACCTACTGTTGCTGGTGCTACTGGTGGTGGCAGTGTACCTACTGTTGCTGGTGCTACTGGTGGTGGCAGTGTACCTACTGTTGCTGGTGCTACTGGTGGTGGTGGCAGTGTACCTACTGTTGCTGGTGCTACTGGTGGTGGTGGCAGTGTACCTACTGTTGCTGGTGCTACTGGTGGTGGTGGCAGTGTACCTACTGTTGCTGGTGCTACTGGTGGTGGCAGTGTACCTACTGTTGCTGGTGCTACTGGTGGTGGTGGCAGTGTACCTACTGTTGCTGGTGCTACTGGTGGTGGCAGTGTACCTACTGTTGCTGGTGCTACTGGTGGTGGCAGTGTGCCTACTGTTGCTAGTGCTACTGGTGGTGGCAGTGTGCCTACTGTTGCTGGTGCTACTGGTGGTGGTGGCAGTGTACCTACTGTTGCTGGTGCTACTGGTGGTGGTGGCAGTGTACCTACTGTTGCTGGTGCTACTGGTGGTGGTGGCAGTGTGCCTACTGTTGCTGGTGCTACTGGTGGTGGCAGTGTGCCTACTGTTGCTAGTGCTACTGGTGGTGGCAGTGTGCCTACTGTTGCTAGTGCTACTGGTGGTGGCAGTGTGCCTGCTGTTGCTGATGCTACTGGTGGTGGCAGTGTACCTACTGTTGCTGGTGCTACTGGTGGTGGCAGTGTGCCTACTGTTGCTGGTGCTACTGGTGGTGGCAGTGTGCCTACTGTTGCTAGTGCTACTGGTGGTGGTGGTAGTGTACCTACTGTTGCTGGTGCTACTGGTGGTGGTGGCAGTGTACCTACTGTTGCTGGTGCTACTGGTGGTGGTGGCAGTGTACCTACTGTTGCTGGTGCTACTGGTGGTGGCAGTGTACCTACTGTTGCTAGTGCTACTGGTGGTGGTGGCAGTGTACCTACTGTTGCTGGTGCTACTGGTGGTGGCAGTGTACCTACTGTTGCTGGTGCTACTGGTGGTGGCAGTGTACCTACTGTTGCTAGTGCTACTGGTGGTGGTGGAAGTGTACCTATTGTTGCTGGTGCTACTGGTGGTGGTGGCAGTGTACCTACTGTTGCTGGTGCTACTGGTGGTGGCAGTGTACCTACTGTTGCTGGTGCTACTGGTGGTGGTGGATGTGTACCTACTGTTGCTGGTGCTACTGGTGGTGGTGGCAGTGTACCTACTGTTGCTGGTGCTACTGGTGGTGGCAGTGTACCTACTGTTGCTGGTGCTACTGGTGGTGGTGGCAGTGTACCTACTGTTGCTGGTGCTACTGGTGGTGGCAGTGTACCTACTGTTGCTGGTGCTACTGGTGGTGGTGGCAGTGTACCTACTGTTGCTGGTGCTACTGGTGGTGGTGGCAGTGTACCTACTGTTGCTGGTGCTACTGGTGGTGGCAGTGTACCTACTGTTGCTGGTGCTACTGGTGGTGGTGGCAGTGTACCTACTGTTGCTGGTGCTACTGGTGGTGGTGGCAGTGTACCTACTGTTGCTGGTGCTACTGGTGGTGGTGGCAGTGTACCTACTGTTGCTGGTGCTACTGGTGGTGGTGGCAGTGTACCTACCTACTGTTGCTGGTGCTACTGGTGGTGGCAGTGTACCTACTGTTGCTGGTGCTACTGGTGGTGGTGGCAGTGTACCTACTGTTGCTGGTGCTACTGGTGGTGGCAGTGTACCTACTGTTGCTGGTGCTACTGGTGGTGGTGGCAGTGTACCTACTGTTGCTGGTGCTACTGGTGGTGGTGGCAGTGTACCTACTGTTGCTGGTGCTACTGGTGGTGGTGGCAGTGTACCTACTGTTGCTGTACCTACTGGTGGTGGTGGCAGTGTACCTACTGTTGCTGGTGCTACTGGTGGTGGTGGCAGTGTACCTACTGTTGCTGGTGCTACTGGTGGTGGCAGTGTACCTACTGTTGCTGGTGCTACTGGTGGTGGTGGCAGTGTACCTACTGTTGCTGGTGCTACTGGTGGTGGCAGTGTACCTACTGTTGCTGGTGCTACTGGTGGTGGCAGTGTACCTACTGTTGCTGGTGCTACTGGTGGTGGTGGCAGTGTACCTACTGTTGCTGGTGCTACTGGTGGTGGTGGCAGTGTACCTACTGTTGCTGGTGCTACTGGTGGTGGTGGCAGTGTACCTACTGTTGCTGCTGCTACTGGTGGTGGTGGCAGTGTACCTACTGTTGCTGGTGCTACTGGTGGTGGCAGTGTACCTACTGTTGCTGGTGCTACTGGTGGTGGTGGCAGTGTACCTACTGTTGCTGGTGCTACTGGTGGTGGTGGCAGTGTGCCTAC